GGTTTATCCCAGAGGGGCTGCAGTGCTCATGTGGACCCGACTGGTACACAACCAACAACAAGTGGAACAACGAGTCCTACGTGCTCTTCCTCTTCTGCTTCTGCTTCGGTCTCCCCCTTGCCACCATCATCTTCTCCTATGGCCGCCTGCTGCTCACCCTGCGTGCTGTGAGTCCCCTCGGGGATCCCCCAGTGCAACCTGGGATCACGGGTTGATAGCAGGCTGCAGGTCAGGAGTAGGGGTCATGAAAGGACTGTGGGTTGGGGTGGGTTAGGAGTGAAGACCACTGGGAGGTATGAGGGGGCTGTGGGTCAGGAGTGAGGGGCACAGTGGGGGTCAGGAATGTGACCAGGTCAGGACTGCAGGTCAGGAGTGAGGGGCACTGTGGGTCTGAGGAGGGTAGGACAACATGGGGGCTGAAAGGCTGAAGGCATTACTGCCACCCTTGGGGGACATGTGGAAGCAAGGGCTGACAGGAGTAGGGGATGGAGGGTCTGTGGATCAGGAGTCATGGGCACTGTGGGGGAATGGTGGGGTTACAGGGTGGGAGTGAGGAACAGTATGGGACTAGGTTTGGGGCTGCAGGTCAGTGGGTCCATGGGGCTATGATGGGAGGATGGCAGGTTGGAAGTGAGGAGCACAGTGGGGCTGCAGGTCTCCCCCACTGGACACCCAGATCCCTCCATCCCTCCTCACTGATCTGTGGGGACCCCCATCCCTCCTGCCCCCCACCACTCCCCAGGTACCCCCCACTGCATTTTGACACCCTCTTCTCTCCCACTCCCCAGGATCCCCATGTTCTCACTCCTGCCCCCATCACAACTTGCCCCCCACAATGTTCGTGAGGACTCCGCATAGCCTCTACACCACTCCATTAGTTCCTGAGGATCCCCAGCCTCCCCACTGACTTCCTCTCCCACCTGGGCCAGGGGTGGGTCAGCAACACGTGGGTAGTGCAGGCTGGGCTGGGGCTGATTTATTGGGGGGGGGGTCACACCCACTCCTGCTGCATTGCAGTAGGTCCCACTGATATCACCACCCCCCTGAGTTAGTGTAGATCACATCAGTATGGCTGCCCACCTTCTGGGAATGGATGTGGCTCCCACCAATATGGCCACTGACCCCTCAGGAATGAGGGTGTGGCCCACCGATATGGCTGCTCCCCTGCATTAGCATGGGTTCTACTAATACAGCCACCCACCTTCCAGGAATGAATCTGGATCCCACCAATATGGCCACCCCTTACTGGGATATGGCAGCCTTAGCAGGCTTCATCCATGCTTTAGATTCTGGGCAGTAAAATGGAGGCTCCCAGGGGGTCCCCATAGGCTGGGGGATCTCTATAGGTTTGGGGGAATCCCATTGGGCTGGGGGGTCCCTTTGGGCTTTGGAGGTCCCCATGGAGCTGGGGGATCCCCAAAGGAGGGTCCCTATAGGCTTGGGGAGGGGCAGTTCCCTGTAGACTTGAGGGATCTGCATGGCTTTGGGGTCTCAGGGTCCTCCCACAGCACTAACCCCCACCCCTTCCCTGGCATGGGCAGGTGGCACGGCAGCAGGAGCAATCAGAGACGACACAGCGAGCTGAAAGAGAAGTCACACGCATGGTGGTCACCATGGTGCTGGGCTTCCTGGCCTGCTGGCTGCCCTATGCCAGCTTTGCCCTCTGGGTCATCACCCACCGAGGCCAGCCCTTCTCCCTGGCCCTGGCCTCACTGCCAGCTGTCTTCTCCAAGGCCTCCACTGTCTACAACCCCATCATATACGTCTTTATGAATAAGCAGGTGCATGGAGGGCAGGGTGAGGGTCTTCCTGGACTTTGCTGGGCTGGAGGGATGGGTCTATGGGGACAGGGGTGGGTCTTGGCCAACCAACTAGCCAAGTTGTTTTTTTACTGAGCCTTACCAGGCAGGAGGGGTTGATTTATGGGGGCTTGGGATGGGTCAGGTCTGGGCCAACTGGTTGGCCAAGTTTTTTACTGGGCTGGAGGGGTGGGTCTATGGGGGCCTGGGGTGGGTACTGGCCACCCAGCTGGCCATGGACTGTGAGGGAGCCAAGCTGGTTCTTTACTGCCTCTTTACTGGTTAGGGCTTTGGAAGGCTCTTAGCCAAGGGCTGGAGTGGTTGCTCTAGAGGGTCCTGGCCAACCAGTTGGCCAAATTGGTTCTTTACTAGTCTATAGTGGTTACATTAGAGGGGTCTTGGATGACCAATTGTCCAAGCTTTTTCTTTACTGGGCTTTACTGGTCAGGAGGGGTGGGTCTAGAGGGGCCTGGGATGGGTCTTGACCAAATGACTGGCCATGGAGTGTGATGGAGCCATACTGGGCTTTAGTGGTCTGCAGTGGTGGGTATACAGGAGCTTGGGAAGGCTCTTGGCCAACCAGTTGGGCTAGCTCGTTCTTTACAGGCCTTTACTTGGCTGGAGGAATTGCTTGAGGGGGTCTTGGCCCCCCAGCTGGCCCAGCTGACCCCTCCCCTGCCCCCTGCAGTTCCGGGCCTGCATGCTCAAGCTGATCTTCTGTGGGAAGAGCCCATTTGGGGAGGAGGACGAGACGTCCACTGCCTCCCAGTCCACCCAGATGTCCTCGACCTCCAGCAGCCAGGTGGCACCCGCCTAGCCCACCATGCCCTGTGGCTTCCATGGCGACCACTGGCACAGCCGGCCTGGCCTGCCACGGCTGCCTCACTTCTCCGGTGATATATCCCAGTATGCCCTACACCATCATGGCTGCTCATGCCAGCCAGATGTCCTACAATGCCCTGCGTTGTCACGGCAGTCCAAGTATCCCAGCATACACCACACTGGCCTGGCTGCCCTGCTGCTCTGGCTAGGTATCCCAGCATGCCTTGTGCCATCATGGCTGCCCATGCCAGCCAAGTGTCCCAGCATGCACCACACTGCCATGGCTTTCGCTATACTAGCATGCACTGCTGCATCAAAACAGTCACAGCAACCATGCTGCTCTGGGTACATAGTCCAGCATGTCCTGCACCATCATGGCCATCCATGCCAGTCAAGCAGCCCTGCATGCAATGCATGGCCATGGTCCCAGCTGTCCCAGCATGCACTGCTCCAGGAAGGTCCTTGCTCCTTCCCAGCATACCCTGGGGAACGGGGCACCTGCCACTCCCCAACCTGTGCTGGAGGGAGGAGGTCCTTACCTGGGAAAAGTCCCTTTCCCAGCAACACATGCAAACACACGCACAAATGTGTATGGAACATGCATGAACACATATGAACACACACACAAGCATGCAGGAACAAAGATCACGCATTAATTTGCAGGCACATATGAACATGCAAACATGCATGAGCATTCAGGCACATGTGTGACCATACAAATACATGCATTAATGTGTATGAACACAGACACGTGAGCATGCATGAACACAGACATATTGACCATGCAGAAACATGCATGAACATGCATGGAGAGACACACATGAACACAGAGGCATGCATAAACACACAGGCACAATGTCAACATGCATGAATGTGCAGACAGATGTGAACATGCAAACATGTAGGAACAGACACACATAAATAGAGACATACATGAACATACAGGCATTCATATGAATATGTATGAACACATACACACAGTGTTGTATATTGTAAATATCTTGAGCCTGGCAATTACCAGCATGCCCCCTGCTGTAACTGCTCCCCATACCACCTGTAACAGCCTCTACCCCCACACCCCCAGTGGTTATAATTACCCCTGGGCTCTAATTGCTCCCCCTGTGGCTGTAATGACTTCCATTGCTGTACCCCACCCCCGGGCAAATAAACCAGCACACTGGACCTGCAGCTGTGGCCTGGGGGCAGGATCTTTGTTACTGAGGTTCTAGGGGGGTCCCTCTGACATGTGAGGAGTCCCAGAGCCCTTTGGGAGGGCTCTGGGGCAGGCAGGGGTAGGGGCAGGGACAGGGCCAAGGGGGGCACATGGGGTTAGGGCCCCCAAGGGAGGAGACCCCAACCCCCACCCCCATGACACCTGGATCCCTCCCAGAAGCATCTCTAGCCCCTGACCCCCCCAGCCTTGCCCTGCCCTCATGTCTCACTGGCCTACCCACTGGTGCCCCAATGCCGCGCCCCTGTATTTGAAACTCAACCCCCACCCCCCACCCCCCACAGGGACCACTCAGCCCCTCCAATCCCCCCAGGGACCAGAAACAATCCCCAAAAGGGCTGATCCTGGTGGAGGGTAGGTCCCCCTCCCCAGTACTTGCTTGCCCTGTGTTGGGTTCTGGGGGTTTGGCTGCTCCTGGGAAGAAAAGAGAGAGACAGCTGGATGGTTGCAGGGGGTTGGGGGATGGAGCTGGTCCTGGGGCTTCACAGGAGAGACCCCAGTGCCAGTGGGAGGGGAGAGGGGGTGATCTGTGTGAGAAATGGTGGACTGCTGTGAATCACCTGCAGAACCCAGGCATCCAGGACACACACACACGGAAGTTGCTCACCTGTTATGCCCACATAACCTGCCCCCCCAGGGCACACCCCAGAATAAGCCTCATGCCCCACTGCTTCCCAACACACCTATAGAACCCAGGTGTCCAGGACACGCACACACACACATCCATGTGCACGTGTACCCACACACAGTACTCAGGCATCACACACACACACACACACACACACACACACACACACAAAACCTAGGTGTCCAGGACCCTCCCCCTCTGCACACAGTGAACCCAGATGTCCAACACACACACCAAGGCATCTGGTACACACAGACACACACACTCAGGTGTGCCATCCCCACACTGGGAACCCAGGTGTCCGGGCCATGCACCCACACAATTCAGATATCTGGGGACCACCCCCCCACACACACACACAGCATCACCCCCCGGGGATCCCAGGTGTCCAGATCACACCAACCCCTCTGAGACCAGCTCTGCCCCCACACCATGCCCACCAGTCCCATGGGGGTCCCCCTAACCCCACACTCCCTCTTTGTGAGGCCTTTTCCGGTGGGGGGTAGAATAATCCGAGGGCTAATCTGTCTAAAACAGGATTAGGAGGCGGAGGATTAGCCCAGGGTGGGAGGGGTTTGGGGGGGCCCCAATCCAGGCTGGGGGGGAATATCAGGGCCTCTTTCTTCAACTGGAGGGGTTGGGGGAGCTGCTGCTGCTGAGGGGATTGGGGGGGCCTATCCCAGGACTTGGGGGGGACGACTGTGATCACCATATTCTCCCCATTAATCCCCCCTTATTTGTGCTTTAAGACCTAATGACATGCAGCCAATTAAGGCTAATTAAGGAGGGTAGGAGGGGTCAGAGCCGCCCCCCCCCCCCACTCTGGTTCAATTTGGGGTCCCAGTTAGCATTGGAATGATGTAATTGGGGCTGGGGGGAAACTGGGGAGGAGCCCCTCCCCAGCCATGACGCACACCCCGCCTCCCCTCTGCCAGAGAGCCCAATTATGGGATCAGGGGGGAGGGCGGGTGCTAATCTGGGCTTCGAGGTTGGGGGGGCCCTATATAGAGGATGACAGGAGCAGGGCTTGGGCAGATGCTTGGGGGGGTGGGGCAGGACTGTGCCTGGGGGGTCTCTGTGTTGGGGTTGCTTGGGTCTCTGTGTAGGGGACAGGGGTCTCCGTGGGGCTGGGCTCTCTGTGTGGGGAGCCAGGATCTCTGTATAAGAGTCAGGGGTCTCTTTGGGGGTCAGAGGTCTCTGCATAGGGGCCAGGGGTTTTCTTGGGGATCTGTGTAGGGGCCAGGCCCTGTGTAGGGGTCTCTGTAGAGGTTAGGAATCTCTGTGTAGGGGTCAGGCCCTGTGTAGGGGCCTGTGTGGGGCTCAAGGTTCTCCCTCTGAAGGCCAGCAGTCAAGGGTGCCATGGCAGGGTGGGCAGGAGCTGTGGGGGCCCGGCGGTACCAGGAGGATGAGGAAACGACCCATGGCAGCATCTTTGTCTACACCAACAGCAACAACACGCGGGGTGAGCTGGGGAGCTTGGCGGAGGCAC